TAAGTTTCAATCAAGTATTTTTAGTCGTCTAGAGTTGACATGGTTGAACATATAAAAATTTAATTAAGACCATAATGCGACTATTTAATTATCGCATTTCTCTAAACGCAGCACTAAAATAATGGACATATCTTTATATAGGGTATCAAAAACACGACCAATATGTTTTGACATCACGTCGTATTTTGTTTAGCATATTCCTACAGGTATTAGAAACAAACTTAAGAATTCAATAGTAACGTTTATATCTGGCACATAGGATCGTCATTTAAACGTATGTTTTTTGAGGTGTCTTTTCAGGTATCGATCATTCTACATTTATACGTTACAAAAATCAATTTGTATGTTAATATACCATTGCAGCTAATTGAAAGTGAATTTTCCGTACTCTGTTCTCTTATACAGGTATACATTGGTTTTCATTCACCTGCAGCTTGGCTTGCACAAAGAAAATGTATTAATATTGATAAAATATGTATTATACATGTAAGTATCGATATATTATGTAGTACCCGTTATACATAACTTATCGATTACGTATATTATATTAAATTGTGAGGTTTGGGCTGGTAGTAAGAAAAAACAAACAGATTAAATATGTACACATAAGGGCGGTGGACGGTTGCTTTTGTGGATAGAATGTGAATTCAATTCAGGCAGGGGAATTCGGAATTCTTTCGGGGTCATTTAATATTCTCTCGAAAAATAATCGGTTTTTCCTCCTTCTTCTAAAGCTAAGTATAAAATCTATAATTCTTAAGAGAATGGATCCCAATGGATTACAAAAACATCATGAACGTTAATTGTACGTATATTACAAAACATAATTTTAATTACGTTGGCACATTGCAGTCTATGATTATCATTATATATTAAATAGTTTTTATTATCTTAAACAATAAGTATCAGATCTAAAAACATTTGATAAGTTCATATTCGTTTAAGAACTAAAAAGTAAGAAGTATAACTAGAATCCTATCATTTGGGGTAGTAGATAATTATAAACTAATTAACCGTCGTATGTTCAAACAAGGAAAAATAACAAGAAATAAAAGAAAAATGAACCCTATATTGTAAAGCAAAATTTTTTACATTATTAATATTTAATAATATTTGAGCAAAGTTATACAAATAAGTTTTGCTTTTAAAGTTAAATAAAAATATATATCAAATACTTAACAATTACTTTTGTTTAATATTTCATATGCTAAGAAAAAAGTTTATTAAGCTCTAATAATGTAAATTTTTATAGCCATACATAATTTAATAAAAAAAGTAATATATTATATATTATATTATGTAGTACGTCAACTACTAGTGCGGAACGAAATAATATCATAAAATTATGAGACTCTCAGTTACAGACGATGTGTAACACACAATATACGACGCCCACAAACTGTGCCTATGTGTGATGTGTCATAACCACTCATAACTTACAACCTTGTCCGACTTACTGGGCACTTAATAACATCGACGTTCGTGTCACGAAGTATTGGGTGATAAAATAGATAAGCCACATAGAATAGTATGATACGGTTGTGGACAAATAAAATATCTTCTCCGTGGTGGAATTTGGTTGGTATAACCGACGAAACTTAATTTGAAATGAATAAAACGTTTGTAACGCATAGGTAACTATTTTATTTTATACATAAATAATTAATTGACCAAATATATTTTTATATAATTTTAAATAATAACTTGGACCAATTCACCACTGAAGAAGATGCCTCGTGTTAGGTTAAAGTTAAAGATTTACAAACCATATTTATAAGGAGAGAAATGAAAATTAAAGATTTAATGTCGTAAATCAGTTAACCAAATGTTAATTATATTTTATGTAAGATTTACTACAGTTTTGAATTTTAACTGGAGCGTTTTCTAAAGCAGTGGTCTTCAACCTTTTTAGACTCGCAACCCAATTTTTTAGGCCTGCGTTTTTCGCGATCCACGTAAGCTTTGTAGAAAAACAAAAAAGTTAAAATTGCTTAATGCTTTATAGTAGTACTATGATAACTGAATAAATAAAAATTACATTTTGGTAGGTAGAATATTTATTAATATTTATATATTATCATCTATTAAATTTGATTTTTATTTTAAAAGGAGACTTATCGCGATCCAATTTTAAAGCTTACGTGACCCAAAAATGGGTCGCAACCCACAGGTTGAAGGCCACGGTGCTAAAGGATATAAACTTACTTTGGTAAAGTGTTTGTCTGATTGTTTTAAGTTTTAATTATATAGATGATTAAATGAATTTTCTTTCGTTTATCGTTGATTTTCTTGGTCTGAACTCGATAAAATAATGTCTGTTTATATTAAAAACCTTAAAGTCTTTAAGTTGTTTCTCTGTCGGAATAGTTTAAGATTTGCTTTGAACTGTGTTTATGCGTTCATTTAGTTAATTATTTCGTAATCGCATTGGTAAACGTCCCCGTCGTCAATAACAGTGATTGTTTACAACTAATCCTAAGCCCGCCCGGTCCTAATTAATATTTGTCGTGCGGTCGACTGTCCCGCTGAAGTTTTCGCGGCCTCGATAGCATAAAAGTATCGTTGTTTGCGTTTTAATACTGTTGTGCATACGTATGATACTCACAATGCACAAACTCGAGATGTGCATTCTTCTACGCTCGTGTGGTGTGCTGCAGGTACTGCCGTCTGTTGGCCGTGTACCGCGCTGAACAGGTTCAGTCAGTGCGCGTCGTCCGACGGTGTAGCGACGAGAATGTGCGACGAGCGGTCGCACCGATCACTACGCACTCGTTCGTTCGTCCGCCGCGCCGTTTTATTTTTCCACGACGGTTGAGCGCGCTCGCGCCGGTCGGCCGCGTCCCTATTGTCGTATAAATTATTATAATTTATAATAACATTACCGTTGTTGTTGTCGTTGTCGTTGTTAACGTTGTGGTGTTTCGTACGTCGCAATCCGCCGCCGAATTTGGAAAACGAGTACATGTGTGCGCATACAAATACGATTCGAACTATAAGTCCGTCTCGGTCGTAGACGACACGTACATCGCTAAATATAGGTAATATTATGTTATAAATAATCACGTATTAATGCATAGCTCTCCCTGCAATGGTGGATTTGTACAACGTAGCAAATGTAGACATTTGCAAACAGGGCCCTTGACGCGTAAATCCCCCTCCTTGTCCTCTGGGGCCCGGTCCGTCACAATTTTTAACCATACCATAAAAAAATAAAACTGAAAATTATTCCGTGTACCGTGATTATGTACGGTAATTATGTACCGTGTATGCATCGATAATAATCTATACAATCATTCACGTATATATTTATTTTCTTAAAATGTTATTGAAGAAATATTTTACTATTTAGTCACAATTTTGATGTTGTGAATTTCAAAGAAAGGTGACCCTAATTAATTCATAACTAATTATTTTATAACTGAATTGTAATGATGGTAATTTAACTCAAAATATTTACTAAGAAACAAAAATATTAACCTACCCCTAAATAATTATTTTATCGGATCCTTTATGATGTTTACGAACTAGATCTTTATTTGAATCCGCCTCTGTGACCACTACACCGTTACCTTGACATAGACGGAGATTTAAGGGGCTTTGCCCCTTCCCTAAAATAAATCGAAATCCCCCAAAATGATTGACTTTTTTTCAAAATATTGAATAAATACTAATTTTTTAACAATTCAAAGAAATATTTAAGCCCTCCTGAAATGCAATCAAAACTCCAATCGCGGTTCTCATACATTATAGCCACTACAGTGGCGTATCTACGGATGGAGATTATGGAGATCTATTTCCTCCCCCTTTTGTTTTGCTTATATTTATATGATTTTAGTTAAGTTTTTTCGTTTATCATTTTATAAGTAAGCAATAAAATATCAGGATGTTTGGCATCGATAATTTTAGTCATATCTCCCCTCATTAAAGAAATCTTAAATATTCCACCAAGTCACTAAATATTGTCATTTTTATTTCCGCGGTAAAAACTACCCATAAACGACAAAACAAATATCGTTATATCTTAATGATTAGTGTTGAGGTATTCGTATCATATACCGAATAGGCCCTTCCTTCCACCTCCGTGTAGGTTTTAAATGTATTAACAATTATTAAAATATATGGGCTAGCTTAAACACGCATTAAATATTATCTTGAAATCATCGCCCTGATTTTGTTTTGTTACAATTTAATATTGACCGTTCGCATAAAATGTAACTATAGGTAATATCTATAAACCTTAGGGTGTGTACAATGTCGTATTATAAACAAAGAATTCATTTTTACTTACTACGATGTGCGAATTTTGTCCATAATAACGAGAACTCAAAAGTCTCGAAAGTCTATTTACACTGCCTCTTAAAATGGTAAATGTATACACCTTGTAAATTAGGAGTATGCTTTTACGGCACGGGTGAACGGGAAAAAACGTATTTTGTTATTAAATAATTTTAGTTTCATCATCAGAGTTTCTTCTCTCTTCTCCCCTCACTATGTCACGTTATTTTAATAAGAATATAAACGATTATCTTTTGCGTAAAACCAATTTCCTCTCCTCGCCGTTGATTGCTATCATTACAATCTGAGTAATCAATTTTTGTTGTTATTATTCGTAAAAAAATACATTTCAAAAAAAAAATGTATTTTGTGTTTTTAATCATACCCTATCATTCAAAAGTCAGCACACTGTCTCGGTGTATACCTCTGTAATACACTCATTCCGTTTTTTTGTTTTTTTTTTTTTTTTTTTGCTTACAATGAGTACACGCCCTCAATTAGCCGCATCTACATTTCAACTACTACGACTATAACAATAATAGTAATCGATTAATGTGCATGTATTATTGTTGCGTATTATTATGTGTCACAGAGTTGACACGTCACTATCGCGTAACCGTTTTTCCTCCGGAGATAATGCACTTTTTCCATTCGTATATATTGTAATACATTGTGTACAATGAATAGAATGTTATACTGACGCCATTCGTTCTCATATGTTTCAGGAATATGGAACTTTGCGATATCAGACGGCAAGGAGTGGGAACAGCCATTAAATCATCGGATCGCAGCCGCCTGCTTTGAGACGTGTTGACGTAAGTGCGCGAAACCATAAGGTTTTTTTTAATATGTCTATTTTAATCGTTTCTGAGTTCCTAATTAACATATCCGCATGAACTCGATATTATAATTTATTATGATATCTAAACGGTTCTTTTATTTACGTCATGACTGGCAAATTATATCCGATAATACAGTGGCATATTAATAATAATTATAGTATAATTATGTGTTTCAATGTTCTGAATTGAATATAATATTATATTATTATATTGATTAATAAATGATTTAACCCTTAGTCTCAGTTATAGAAATTTACGTTGCGGTTTTCCATTCGGTTTTTTTTCTAGCATCTACATTTTTATCACTTATAATCACACCTAGTTCTAAATAAAAATATATCAACAATTAAGTAGGTACGTATTTTAAAATTATTTCAAATTTTTGTTACTTAGAAAAATGTCACCGGAATTTCTAATTATTTTTTAATCTTTAAACCATAACGCTGATAAATAATCATTTTATACGCCTACGTTCTATTAAAATATTAAAAAAAATCCACCAACCGAAACATTTTCTTGACGTTATATTTCTACGATTTTTCGTTGTTTAATCATTTTGCTACCAACGCAAATATTAAATAATGCCTTAATATTGAAAACATTCCAGTGTATAAGTATTCCGTGTATCTTCTGTGTTAGAATCATTAATTATTTTTAAAAAATGGTGAAAACAAATAAACGGATTCGTTTGGAACTTATTTTGATGTATCTGTTGTTTCAATATAGTCTTATAACATGCATGGCGTACATAAATGAATAATTTTAATTAATTTTTTTTTTTCGATCGCATATTAAAGCTCTGCGTCATTAATTACCACAAAACAGAAAAAAAAACTTTTAACGTCGTTAGCCAGCAAATATGAAATGATTCATGTATTATATAATACAATACGAACCTCTACCGCGTGTCTGATCATTTGCAAATTTAGAGTAAAAATAATTAACATTCAGTAATAATTATTATGGGAAACGCACAAAAAAAATCTGTGTTCAATTTAAATGAAGATTCATTGAAGTGTATAAAGTGCATATTAAAAAGGTTCCTGTATGGTTTTTTTCTATTTTTTATGCCGTTGAACAATATTTATTACTGGCAGTCACATATTTATACAAATCGCAAATTTAGTATGCGTATATTCGTATAATTTAATGGTATCATTTAATTCCTAATATGTGTAGACCTTAAATGTTTATTTTATTTATGTGCAGTTTCAAAAAAAAAATTTTTTTAGTTTCCATCATCATTAATTTCATATTGGTCATTAAAGTGTACAAAATCAATATTCACTTTAAACTATTAACGTTTTCATTAATTCGAAAGTCTCTACTCCGACAACCTAATTGTAGAATTATACCAATGCCATCAAGAATACATTATCATTATACAAATATCAAATGATTAAATTGAATTTATTAAACAGTAAGGAAATGAGTCATAATATTATACCTAAGAGTTATAATTAAAAATTCTATCATGTGGAACGTTATTTTAAAATCCATGTACCTGATATGCTGCAATTTTGTATGTTATATATAATATATGCAAATGGAATGCTTAATACTACAAACAAATAGATTACAGATGAATGGTCTATAGATGAAACAATATTTAAAATTGAATTAATCGTTTATTTAACCAGCAATAAATCAAGTTTTCTATGTAGTGGTTTCTATTTGAATGTATCTTTTTTGCAATTGACAAGATTGGAAAATTACAGTATTTTCAAAGTATATGAAACAAATGTTTTATTCGTTTAAAACATTATTTTTATAATGTCTTGAACAATTAATAAAAAAAAATTTCAATCTATAATTATTTTTTTAAATATATGTATAGGTACATTATGAAGTAATATTCTTCTATTATCTACGACCATGGTTATTCGAGTATTTACCGTGATCTACAAACAAAATGTATATTTCACGTAACAAATTTCAATACGATTGTATGTTTGTTTAAAACAATTTATTTATAGCACATTCCTATCCTAATTGGAAATTTTTTTAATATACATAAATATAAACTTGGCATACGAATGAGATTTATAATTATTTTTCTATAATTTTCGATGCTTGATTATGTTGTTTGCTGTTCATGAATAAAACAAACTTAATTTTTTTTTTCGTGCAGTTTGTATTGTTTTTATAAAATCGTACATTTAAAATTAAAAAAATTACCAACACCAATATTCATTTTTTAAACGCTAATACTAAAAATATTTGATGAATGTGATAAATGTTTTATTTGTATTACCTTTTCGTATAATTTTTACTCCATAGGGGTACGGATTTGTTTACCAAAGCTCTAAATTATTATTATTTACTCAATACTACACATTTACTTAGAAATTGAATAAACATGTGTGAACTTCGGTTTTATTATATAATATTTGATTTGAATTGGATCGTGAATAAATTATATTCACTATAATCCATTGGGAATTTTCATAATAATATGCAAATATTGGGACACGTATAGATCTAAAAACATAAACACCGTACATGAAGTATTATACTAAATTTCCTCATACTGGAAATACTAATCGTCTAATAATTATATTCTTCTTATTTTCCGACACTGAAATATTACAATAAGTTAATAAATACATATTTCATTAATCCTAACTTAGTTCACTTTACTTTTGAAACTTGTAAAATACGTCATAATATAAAATTTAATTTGATTACACAAACATTAAACCACACGAAATGAATATAATTTCTATTTCGAGTTTAAATATTCCCTGGCGGCAATTTAAAATATGCTAGTATTTTATTTTTAAAATAATACAAACAGGGATATACTGACACCGCTAATTATGAACGTACTAAAATAACTCTTAGTGTTTCACGTTGATAATATGACGACATATCCTTGAACTTATTTATTTGCAGTAAGTACTTAAGTGTTAAGTATAAATAAATAAACGGTGACCCACCTGGTAGGTATATTAAATACATATAGAACATAATTTATTTTGAAATTTTTCTATATTTTTAGTTGGTTTAAAAATTGAAAGAAACTCACACATGATTAACTCTTGCCACGTTTCGTCACGTAGCCACCTCAATTCCGTTAAATACGATTATACGTTTAATTCCTTGAATTTTAAATGTAATTACGTCATTTTTGTTATAGGCGACAATAATTATTATTCAATTTTATGTTATATTTTTTTGATAATTCTAAAAAAAAAATTATCTAAAAACCATCATAACTAACTATTGCTTATGGATTTTAGACTATAGCCTTCTCCCCCTCCATCTCTCTTTAACTTTAAGTCATCCAAAATGACATCCTATAATATCATTGAAAAAATATTCAAACGCTTAAATTCCCACATCTATGTGAATCGCATATAAATATACTCTCGAGTCAGTCTAGAAAGATAGCGTGAACATTAATTTTATAGTATTAATAATAATATTATTCTTTTTTTCCGGTCTGCAAACTACGACAGGTCATCGTCACCATACACGAGTGCCAGCTGTTATGCGTAAGCAATGATCTACCTGTATACATTGATTACGCTACTGTTGTGGGCGGCCATTGTGTCTCACTCGGCGTCTGAATTGGACTGGGTCACTGTGTGCAACCAGCAGACGTGCCGGTGCAAATGGGTCAGTGGTCAGAAGACGGCTGAGTGCATCAACTCGGGCCTCACGAGCATACCTAAGAACCTGAGTAATGAAATGCAGGTGCTCGATCTGTCCAACAACAAAATACTGGAGATGAACAAGGACGCTTTCCGGGAGGTGGGCTTAATCAATCTGCACAAGCTAATCGCCCGCAGCTGTTCTATTGAACTTGTCGACAAGGACGCATTTCGTGGCCTGGAAATACTCATCGAGCTGGATCTGAGCGACAACAACATTCACGTACTGCACCCGGCCACGTTCCGGGATCCGTTCCGGTTGCGCAAGATCTACCTAAACCACAACCTTATACAGCGGCTACGGAACGGCCTGTTCAACAATATGTCGTTCTTACAAACGGTCGAGCTTAACGCGTGCCTGATAACAGATATTGAACCTAAAACATTTTATAACATCACCAAGTTCAACAGCTTGGAGCTGAACGGCAACCAGTTGACTAATATCAAGCCCGAGGTCTTAGAGTCCGTGCCTAGTTTGATAAACTTGGAAATCAACAACAACCCGTGGCGATGTGACTGCAAGCTTAGGCCTTTCATGAACTTGGTTTGTATATTATACACTATGTATCCGTTACTGTTTTTATTATGAGAAATTTAAAGTTGCCAAACTTAAAGAAAAAAATTATCGATTAATTTTTTTTTTTATTTTGCAAAATCCATAAAATTATTTTAGATTTAAAGGTCTTTTAGTTTTTGTAACTATTTATTTTCTTCTTTTGCAGGTTATGAATAAAAACCTCTACTTTAAAACAGCATCGTGCGCCGAACCACCAAGACTTCTGAACAAGCTGTGGGGCGACATCAAACCGGACGACTTTGCATGTCAGCCGATTATCCAGTATCCCGCTCAGAGTTCCACGTTTCAGCTAGACGATGACGAGCTGATGACTATCGGTTGCAAGATATACGGAGAGCCGATGCCCAGCGTCCAGTGGGTGTTCAACAACCGGCCCATATCGAATTACTCGCACGGCGATTACAAATTCACGGTATACGAGAGTGTAGACAACACTATGGCCAAGTGGATAAATCTGACTGTATCCCGGTCCCGGTTGATTGGCAAATCCGAATTCAAATGCATCGCGCAAAACCCTGCCGGATTGGAAGAACGCAAAATCACCGTCATCGTTCAGGTACCTATACGGTCTACTCCCCTCGCGTCATCATCGCAATCATTACTACACCACTACAGAAACGCTGCAACACTAAAGCGTTTGTTTTACTTTTTTACATGAAAAAAATTCAATATGATTGTGCCCCATGTAATCTATTTGTTGATCCTTTTAACAATTCTACAGGCTTAAGACTGGCAAAAAAAGTATGTTGTATGATTTCTTAAAAATTGCTTAATATTATGAGTTATGACATTAGTAAATTAAGTACACTATTTTAAAATTTCAATATATAAAATACTTCATACGCCTATGTACTCACCTAAAATTAAATACTCAATTATTATATTGTACTTTATAGAATATCGGTTTTGAAATTTTCGTATCTCTATTATACATACATATTGGAGAAATACAAATGTTAATTTTACCATGAATTAATATTTTTAATTAGTATATTGAAAAAATTTTAAAAGTACAATTTCTATATTTTATGCAGCACAATCTTGTTGCATTTTTTATAGATAAAAAGGTAAAACAGACGCAATCGTGTACAGCTCTATGGTAAACTAAAGTCATTATTCATTTGAGCGCAGGTACCCTTTTTATCTTAAAATAACCATAAGTGATTTGAGTTTATGTGTAATAGTTTCTTAAAGAGCAAATTTTTTAAATGATCTGTGCAAGACAAAAAATATTTTATAAAAGAAAAAATAATTAATAAAAAAATTTTAACGACAATACTTTAATGTTTAAATTATTAATAACGTATTAGCTAAGCAAATCGTATACATATGTAGGTATTCATTATACAATATAAAATATGTGTATATGATGAATGGTGTTGAAAATTGAAAGCTACATTAACGAATTCAAACATTTTAATTATTGCGTTCATTAGAGCCATGGAACTCATTTCCCTAAATTAAACAACTACCTAACTTAATGCTCTCAAATTGATCATTGAATACGCGATCTATTCTCGTAAACTATATAATCTGCAATGATATATACAGTTATGAAAAAGACTTTAGGCGTTTCGTGCTGAGATGGGCTTTTGACTAAAAAGTAAAAATACATTTCTTATGTGTTAGTCGCAATTATGTGATGATAATAAATATCAATATTATAACTATTATTATTATTTATCGTATTTAAAACATATTAACATTATTAACCTTACCAATTGCAGGGTGGTAGTAATAAAAGCATCCTGGGTAGTTCAGTCAGCATGAAAGAATCCCTGCCCATCATCATCGGCCTAGTAGCCGGCATTTTCATCATCATTCTATTGTTAATCGTGTGTTGCCTATGCTGTTACCGACGTCGGCCGGCGGGCAGCGGTTTGTTGTCGAAAAAATCGCACACCAATGGCTTTTCAAATGGCGACGTGCCCAACCATCACAACCACGTTACATCATTAGTTTCAGAGCCATCTGAACAGCAAAAGAGCCTTTTGGCCGTCGTAAATCCGGTTCAAAAGCCACCCAGGAGATACGAATCGTCACCTACCGGCACCGAAATGACCGAACTGAAGAGGAATTTACTAGATGAGACATCCGTCAGTGGTCAGTATCTACCCTTACACGTCACAATAATTTATATTATAATATAAATATCATGTTTTGGGCAGGAATAGAAAACGTTTTTTAAATCTTTATTTTTATATGCATATCATATACCTACTTCCAGTGTTTTTGGGAATTTCATATAATTTTAATTCCTAGAATACAAAACCCATTTAAATTACTAGAGCAAAATAAATTATAAATTATATAATTAATAATTATTATCATATAGTATATTTAAAAGCTAGTTTTAAAGTTAAAATGCAACTTAAAAAAAACAATTTAACATAATATTATTATAGATAAATATACTTAATTCTTATAAACAATATTAAATTAATTTGAATTTTTTTTATTTTAATTTGCTATTTTTTTTTTATCGTTTTACTGTATTTTTTGTTTTCGTTTAAAAACGTTTACCATTCCAAGTCTTTTTAGTATGGATTATCGCACTAATAAACAAGCAGACAATACTGGTACACTCGCTTTGTCGTAATCATTATCATTATTATCATTCCGCAAAACAGTCGATTATCGATATCCCTGTATGTTATCGTCTTATGACACGCCATATCGTTGTCCCCATACACATATATAAGTACGCTTCAACCCGAAATTGTGAACCGAACCGTTAATGTCTGACGACATAGTTTACGTATTATATAGGTAATATTCGGAACTGTCTTTTGTAACCAACTCGATGTCATAGGGGCGTGCACGAAGTATGTAAGGTATGTATGTATCTAACAAAAGGATTCATTAATTTTCCCTTACAGACCCTTTTTTTTTTTTAAATTTCAGTATTTATAAATTTATAAAATAATTTTCAAAAAATAGCTTTGAAGTAGATATTAAAAGTTGTTGACAAATTCAAATTTTTATATTTTAACGACAATACTTTTAATTTTATTTATTTTAGAGGGGAAAGCATATTTTTATTTTTTTTCTACATTACTACTCACCAATAAAATCTATTTACAATAATTTTTATTATTCTCATTCGTTTTTATTTTTCGTCTCGAGCAAAAAACGACCCTAAACACACCTCTCATTTATTATTTTCGACACATTGCCAATGATGTTTTCTTATTTCAAACGCAATAAAATGTACGGAAATGACATTATATTTAATTATAGGTAGTATTATAGTATCTGCGTTAATAATACATTATTAATATTATACTTTTACCTATATGTGCACGCGTCACATGATATCGATACGTATAGAAATCGAGTTTATAAATGAATCTCAGAAAAATAATGACTTAGAAATTCGAGTATCTAGGTAGATATTGTTGGTAGGTTGTTATATTATATTGGAAGGGTATACGGCATACGTACTCACATACTAGGAGCGCCGCTGAAATCCAATATCCGTTTAATTTTTCGCTGCTGCTGTTTACACGCAATCTATGCAACTACATTGCAGGTCAAGTCGGGCGCGTGCGTGTGCCCTTTCTTTTATGACTATATTTTTCTTCTTTTTTTTTTTCACAAATCCAAACACGAAATTCGTTTCGCCTATTTAAACATATATAATATTATTATCATCGCAATATAATAATATAATATTTTATATTATTATAATGTCCGTCGCGTGCTCATGTTGCTTTACCCATAGCTGGTTCGCACAATATAATATAGATTTCCATACACGCACGCACACGCCCTTATCGTATACTTATTGTACGCCTAGTTGTAAAAAAGAATTAATGAAATTAATATTGTCGTTTGCGCGACAACCGGGTGCGGCGGTGGTTGGTGTATCATACGCGTCACCCACCTGCTGCAGCAGTGAATCGCCACGGCGAAGAGTGAACTGACACACGACCCTACACCTTCGACGGATCTCCTCGACGATGAGACGGTGGCGACGGTGATGATAAAAAAAGTCCCACTTTCGGGGATGATAGGTAAAGAAAAAAAAACGACAGCCTCCATTGTAGCGTCTCTGCAATATTTATGTATAGTCTTAAGCAAGCCGTGGTGCACGTTTATTTATAATATTATATATATACATATTATTAAAGAAAATAATATTATATTATTTATGTATTTAGTTTTTGTATACATTGATAATATATGTATATAATGAATGTAGATGATCCCTATTATAATTTCCCAAGTGGTAGCGTTCACAAAGTTTAAGTATATCGATACCACTATTACTATTATATAGTAGTAAATAGACTTAAGCCCGGTTTACAGCTACGTCGTTTGTCGTTTAAATTCGGCCCAATTCACGGTGATCATATTGTTAATGAATGATACCATGATTACAATATCCAATCAGAATACGATACAAATAGCATAACACGGCATATGACACAGCTTTAAATCCGGTTTAAGTGTATTTTTTGTGTAAAATAAAAAATTTCTGTTCACGGTATAAAAATATAAATAACCCCATAGTTTATCATTCATGAACGCCCAGGAAAGGCAATCCATTCCATAATATTTATGTTTGTATAAGATTATCATTAACGCTGTCTTACTAAGTCTTCTCCGCCGTCTCTCCGTATCTGACGCATGTATTTATCTACAATTTATTTAAAAATATACAATCTTAATAACAGCTATCATATCGACCGATGGAGTATAGTCTCCTCCAACCGGCTATGCCGATTAAAAATTTATAATGTGCATGATTTTAATAATATAAAAGATTAATTTAATTATATTTTGTTCTGTAAACGTGTTGAAACAATTTGATGTAATCTACATTATACTATTTAAGTATTTTGATCATTTTTGTTTACATTCCCCGTCAAGAAGTTCTCAAAAAAATTTTTAAGGTTAAAAATTAAGCTAGTCCAGAGAAATGATGGTAGTATTATTATTTAATTTTGGATCTTATGAATTATATTTATTTTTGTAAAGAAAGCTACCGTGTTTTGAAGAAACATTGGCAATCTGCGAGATTGGGTCTTTTGAAAATCGTTTTGTACACAAAAGCGGAGAACCCTTCCTTAATGTAGGTCATAATATACTTATATGTCTTAGGTATATTGAATTATGTGTAAGTAATCTTTTAATCTTACCCCTGGACTGTGTAATGTTTGATGTATGCGTTTGCATTATTAAACATAGGATATGCGCGAGTTTAGTGATAGTAACCGAAAGACATTTCCGACATGTACAAACACACCAGTCTATGTAAACAAAATGTGACGGCGCTGTGGTTACTATATCTATTATTTAGGGTGAGGGTCTGTAATACAGTTGAATATAACATTATTATATTTATGTATATGTATATATATATATATAATTAATTGTCCGGTCAGTCTTCTCGAAAGAATTTTTGTATTGTAGGCGTGGTTTAAACCTGAAGGTTTTCCGCTAATTTTATAACAGAGAACTTTTTGGGCTTTATTTTGTTAATTGTGGAAGTTTTTAAATTAGTTAATAATTATACATGTTGACGGGTGGGGCTATCCCATGCCATATTATTTTCCATAAATGAAAAAGCTTTGAGTGTTAATCTCAGGAATTTGTTTTAGAAAAATCGTTATCTGAAATAAATCGTCAACGTTTCACGGATTATCATTATTTTTTTAAAAAGCTATTCCGACTTGTTACATGCATACGTACATTTATTTTGAATTGTACGTTTTCCGTTCGTTGAACTTTTACTCCGCGATCGGATCAAAACAATTGCGCGCTATAGCATTGTTATTGTAAGCATCGTATATATAACATTATGATATTATAATAGCTGTACGTTCCTAGTTATTGTTTTCTATATTTTATTTTAAATTTTTTTCGTCTGTTCGGCGTTTGTTAACGTCACTTCTATTTTACTATTTCCGTTCAAAGTATAATGTTATAGGAAACACCGATAACACACCGTGGTATTGTCCAGAACACGGGCCCGGAGATTCATATCAAGTTATTTTTTTTCATAATAAATCATAAACTCATAACAATAATAATATTATTTAATCACTTTTATAGCTCTGTAATGAATCAATCTACTACTATTGTCCGCATGATGCACGCGGTGAACGAGGTCATGCGCAAATATGATAATGTAGCTAGCCTATATAATAACTAATAAGCCTATCGTCCCGGATATTTTATATTTTTTATAATTATTGGTTAACTGCGTGATAATTAAATTTATTAATTATAAAATTTTACACCATATTTTAGTAAATTGCTCACATGTTAAAAACAAAATTTAATTTTTATTACATACACACGCCAGATAGCAAAGATGAATAAACTATACAATATATTATTTTATAGTATTCTCGGTTTTCACTTATATAACATGTACTCTCGTTTTATACGAAATATTATAAAGCTTTAAACATAATATATTATAGTCGAATTGTGATAACTCGCTGAAGTTTTTCCTTGTCCTCTGAAGTGTTTATAAGTTATAATTGAGGTATTTAACCCAAAAAAAACACTTCAGTCGAATTGGCTGTATTACTATTATCACAAACAATATTTGTTTTCTGTTCAATTCGATTCGAATCTCATATTGATGGGTTAGGTAGTGGACGGATGATAGAAGCATTATGTGTTTATAGAATTTTTGCACTAGTACTAAAACAACTATAATAGCAATAATTTGTATTATTGTTATTATTTTATAATTAAAACAATATTTATTGTACCGTATCATTGACAATAAAAGAAATATAGCAATCGAGCGATAATAATATTTCCGATAGGCTTGTTAAATTTTCATCTCGATGACGCAGTTGTTTATCGCCTCTGTTATTGACGTATAAAGTATGGGTAACTATATAGATGTAGTACGCATTTATTGAACATAATAAAAAAAGCCATACATCACAAGTGGCGTATAGTCAGAATTTACTTTGGGGGATGGGACTGATAGTTTGTTTTATAGGGGAGGTTTAATTAAGTCACCAAGATCTTTCATAGGATTCGTATGCTGATGCCGTAGATATATAACATTTTAGATTTGGGTAACAACCTTAGCACAAATTACAATTTTAATACGTGATTACGTCTTACGTAATACTTACAGAACAATGAAAGCATTTTTAAAGTTTCTTGATATTTCGGAAGGTCTGCGCTTTCATGGTTACGCTTCTGCGATTTACCTATTAATATTTAAATATAATTCAAGATTCTCCTAATATAGCTCATTAATATCGTTTATTCAGTATTATGCCCATTCCGAAACTGGTCTCCGTTAAATAAGACTGAGAGAGAAAGAGAAAAAAAATGCGTGTAGAATTCACAGGCGTTCGGCATGGGTCAGGTTCGATTGACTATTGTGTGAAAAATAATTCAAATATCTTTAATAACTAAACTGTACGTTCTTCTTTAACCGTGACATAATGTATATAAAATATATAAATGGTACAATAATATAATACAATAATCGTTGTCGTAGATCACAAAAAAAAAAAATAATAATATTACCCATATATTGTATCGTTTGCCCTCCTTCCACAACCCAAGATCGATTTCAACTACCTAACCATCCCCAACAGACGTGCACACCGTTTCGTGGAAAAGCTTATAATATACGAACGAACAGTCCGAACACAGGCTGTCGTTTTGTATTATACACCACACGTATAGAGGTAGTTTCTCTTCGGATTCCCCGCAAACCCCAGTTCTAGGGTATTTTTATTTTTTTTTTTTTCCTACTTCAGTCGGTCGATGACGGGCTTACGTTATTATTATTATTATAAACCTGCTTCGTCGATGTTATTATTCAAAAATGTACGCATTTATATTTCATAGTTTTCTAACAAACACGTCTTTCTTATCGAAAATGTCACTAGGGACCGCCCGCCAAAGTTGTTCACGTATTACGCGCTACTACCGTTCCAAGTGTGTATGTGTGGTGTGTGTGTGTATAGATTTGTTGTATTATTTATTGTTCTCCCCGTTTCGTCTGTTATTTTCACATGCATATAATGGGCTTGTCGTCGTGCGTAGTATTGAATAGAAATTATTTTTACACGACTTCACAAATTTAAAATGAAAAATTTTACTTTCATACGACAAAAAAACGAAACGTTAAAATCCCACATGCGTACTATTTATAATTAAATCGAGATAATATTATAAATACACAATATTCAAACGAACAATCATTAGGTATATTAATTTTTTATCATACTGGCAGGGTAAATCGAATATTAACAAAATCAAGTACCATTCGATTGATTAAATTTTTCTCTAAAATCGTTGATTGAAACTAAACCGAAACAATGGTTCTCATGCGGTCGTGTCATTGCAATATTTTTATCGTTGAAAGGAATATTGCGGAAAAAAATTCCCCTAGGAAAACCCCCGCAGAATACAATATTACACTACGTTATTAATATTTAAAACTGTAATAAGTATAATTATTAGGTAGTATTTTTAAAGTTTAACCATGTATGTATGGAATAGGTCGATAGGTTTAGCGAAAAAATTAACCATAACGAATATCAAATATAGTCAAATAAGCCAGTTAAAATTGATGTTCTCAACTTATCGTCAATATAATTTTTATTTTTAAAATGAATTGTCAGGGGACATAAAAGGATTCGCATGAATAAATCGCACCCGTATAGCATATTATGATAAATAAATTTAAGAATATGTAATATAATATATACTATCGAACTAAAGTTAAAGTCAAAATGTATTTCCTCGGATTACAAATCTAAACGCGCATCTTAATAGAATATCTTAACTATAATGTGATCGTATATTCCATATTATTATTATATTCCTTTGCTACAGCAATAATGTCGTAGAGTTTGTGCGCTTACTCGACAAATTTCAAAGAAGGTAGAACATTATATAATATTTAAGGATTTGTATATGATGCGCATAAAATTAAACTAGGGACTTGGGAACGTCCTCGACTGTTGCATGAACCCGAGGCGGCCACCAAACGTAATTATTTATTTATTGTATGCGCAATTTTTTTTTTTTAGCTTAGATTTTTATTTTATTGTTTATTTTGTCTGCCTGGTTTCGCTGCGGTTTCAGCAGCTGTTTCATTTAAATGTCGACGGAACAGAAAATCACCGACTGACGGTTCCAGTAAACATATTGCGTGATATTACCGGTCAACATGTTTGTTTATGCGCTTACGCCGATTTTTAGAGCTAACCATCCACCTGCAGTATTATGTATGAAATTAATACTTGCTATTTTCTAACCTGGTTTTAGATTTTCATATTTGATACATGCACCTACGACGTTTCGACGAACCACAATTTATGATCCAAACAAACGTCATCGCGGCGTAATAATATATATCGATGACTAATGCGCATGTCCGTTTTGTTTGTGCAGGCGGCGACTGAACACACATTTACGGCGAGTCGGGCGACAGGCTGGCCAACATCATCGACAGCAGCAGCGTGTATGCGAGCGGGCCAATCACCGTATCCGGAAGGTACGCGCAGCGGACGTGGCGTTCCCGCAGGGCAGCGGCGCGGCTCAAGCTCGCCGGCCGAGCAGGCGTGGTAATCCACCGTCCCGTCTTCAGTCGCCGCCTTGCATTCCATCTACTGGGAACGCTGCCGTACCAACCGGTCCCAGTCGGCCGTTCAAGCTCGCGTCCCGCACGGCCGCCGGCCGGTTGCGTGACCATTCCGCGGCGGCCGCGTGCCGCTGGGCCAGCAGCACCGGCATCGGCGGGCGCTCGCGTCCACGCCGACCGCCGGCGGCACGCCGGACGGATCCGCTGGGCGTGGCCGGCCTGTGCGAACCGGTGTAGCTGCCCTGGGCCCGCGGCCATCGGCCCGACGGCAGTTCGGTGCTGATCGCTGACCAAGGCGATGGCCGAGTGGCGGCGGCCGTGCACAGGCCCAACGCAGTACAACCAAATGCTGCCGCACAGACACAGCGCACTGCGCAGCAGCGGCCGCGGTCCCAGATTCAACGCGGAACGACGCGGTGCAGGGACGTCGCGCAGAGTACCGTCGCCGGCGCCCAGATCGCCGGCGGGTGCCGTCGCGAATTCTGTCCGGCCTGCGACGGCTGCTCCGGCGATCTGGGCGCCGGCATTGTGCCTCTGCGCGTCCTGCACCGCGTCGTCCGCGTTGAATCGC